TCTAAATGCCCCAGCACTGAGCCCACCAACAGGACACTGTTTCAATCTGTACATGACGTAAGATGGGGCATGGCTTTAGGAGTACCTATGTAGCATCAAAGACCTGCTCATCAGCCTATAGGGATTTGAGTCATGAATTAGGCATTGTAGCAAAAGGATGAGCTGTGTACCTTCCAGCTGTGGCTGCTGTTGCATTCCTGGTACTGGAAGCATCCAAGCTGATTTAGGCAAAGGTCTCATTGCATATACACCTCACAAAGGGGCAGAACTTTTTCCACAGGGAGCCTATGGCTATCAGACAGCTGACTTCTTAAGTGCTAGGCTGTAATTCTATAAGGAGCAGTCATTCAAATGACACATGTTCCTCCCTAAACCCTGCCACCATTTACAAGAAAAGGAGGGAATAGAGGCTGAAAGACATGACCACAAATAGGTGACTCTCCATGCACATGCAGCCAGAAAAAGACTTGTCAGTCATGCTCCTTACCCTGCTTTGATCCTCTTCTGTGATGGTAGTTACTTCATGGTAAATGGTAAGATAGCCAGAGTGTGTGGTGATGACTCTACACAAGGTACTTGAAAATTCTTTGCTTGGGACTGGGAATATAGTTCAGCAGCTTAAGTGCCTGCCTAGCAAGTGCAAGGTCCTGAGTTCAATTCCCCTTAACAAAATAATAATAATAATGGAAGTTTTTTTATTAAAAATCTTCACTTGCCCATAGGACTCATGCTCAGCTAGCAGAACTCATAGTTCCAACAAGCACTCTAAGTTTTTTTTGTATATTCCAGATCCTTCTACTAATATCTCAGTGGCTATCCAAGATATTAAATGACAGGATAGTGCCATGTCAGATCCCAAAATTCCCAGGACTTTTTTCTTGTCCTCTTATGGGAGGCTATTACTGGCGCTGGTGGAAACATTTAATAAGTCTATTTGATCTTATTATTTGGTCCATGCATACTTTTCTTAGACCTGTTTCCTCCAGACTTAAAGCTATATGCCTAACCAAGAAAAGAATGCCTGACATCTATTGAGGGCTTTAGATAGACCCTCCAGATTGCCAACCACAACTATGCCAGAGTTAGGGGTACCTCTTCAGGGGTGGGTAGTATCACAGACAGCTAAGTTAGGTAGAAATACTGTAGGCAGGCAGACAGGGCTAAGTCTTGAAGAGTCAATAAAAAAGATGAGAACCATTACAACTGTGGCTGAAGCTGCATCTGCTGGAGGCCAAGTCTCAGTAACAAAATGACCAGGCCTGCATACCTCCCCAAGGGGTAAGTGGTAACACATGGTTCAATAAATCTAGATATACTTCTGTCACTTAAGTGGGTGACCAAGCCCCCAGGCTCACCCCTTCCTGTAAAGTCCTTTATTCCTTCCCTGGGTACTTCATACATACTTGCTTCCACTTGCTCATTACCTAAGTGGCTACAGTGGTAACCTTATGGATCATAGTTTTACCCTACATTATACCCACCTTGTGATTTTGCCCCATAGAATACCCTTCAGACAGTAGGCCCATTGGCAACCCACTCGGGGCCTCTCCTGCCTCAAGAGCTATTTATCTCTCTCCCCCTCTCTATTTCCTACTCTCAAACTTCAGTTGTTCCTTAGGATTCATTCTTTGATTTTGGGAAACACAAAGTCGGTGTATGTACCTAATAGGTTGGGAGTTATGTTTCCCCACAATCACATACACAAAAAACTTTACTTACGATCAATGGAGGAATGTCACCCCCAAAATGAGATAGATTCCTATTCAAGGATGTAATCATGTTATTGTGTTGAGAATCGACTTGTTTGCTACTGGCTGGAGGGCAAGAGCTGGAATAAGACGGCCAGCCTCAAACGGTACCCATGCTTCTGTGGCACAAGCCTATGATCTTGGTTGCTGCAGAATGCACAGGAAGATGTAGGTAGGGCACTCATGGGTCTACAAACACTGAGTTAAAACCATAGCTCACCCGGCTAACATCTCAGTCCCGGCAGTTATGTATCACGTGAGTTTTTCACTGGTATGATCATCTGGCCACTGTCTTTATTCCCTGATAGGGCTTGACGGTATAACAAAGCACATTGAATCTCTTACTAAATATATGGAAAAAGTTCTAAATGACACTGTAGAGGGTGTTTCATTACTTAATTCTGAAATAAAAATGAGAAATCATTCTACAAAACTGGATGGCCCTAGGTGCTCTGACAGCAGCACAGGGTGAAATGTATCAAAACAGAATGATATTATGTCTATTCCTGACAACTCTTCCAATATTATCTTCTAAATTCTAGGATCTACAATCTCAAATCTACCATAAGCTTTAACATGTTCATGACATGGCTGTAATTCATGTGTCGTACTGCCACGTGGCACAGATTTAACTCCACTGTTTGATGTTTAAAGCTAGTCACCAGTGATTAAAGCTGGAGGGAACATGTTAATGCCTGCCTAGCATCCTGGTTTTCTGGAACCTGGTGAACACTCTCATCTTTCTGGCTATGATGCTGTGCATTGCTTGTTTCGTGATTCATTGTTGTGCATTTACATCTCTTATGCCCTTCTGTTCTTTTTCAGACTATTGAAAGATAATAGTTCTTTGAAACACAGAACCCAATATTCCCATGTTTCCTTCAGTTCAACCAGAACAGGACTTAAAGACTCCTTGGCTAGGCAGAATCAACACCCTTCTTCAGCCTGAAGCAATTACATTAAGGTGGAGGGTCAGGCCTCCTGCACCCCCTTAATAAGGGAAAAAAATCTAGGGGGTGGGATGATGTGGAGTATAAGAAATACTATTATCTTCTTTTAAAGTCCTGTAATGTTTCCAATGCTTTGGTTTTATTCTTTACTGTTTTGTTCAATTTTATTGTAACTGCCAATATGGTAACCATTGTTGATCACCTTGTATTTTGTTTTTACATTATTATGTCCATCCTTTTGATTTGACTGTTCTGATGTCGCATTTGGTTTTACTCTCTTCAAAAAAGTAGTAAGAACTGTGAGAGTAATAAAACCCAAAATGTGTAATTGTTATTGTACAAAAGAAAGTGCTTAAAGGTTATAACTGCATATATGTTTAAGTGTGTAAGATAGATAACCGTATTACTGAGGTTTTTTGGATCACTGAACAAAACTGTTTGCACTCTGTTTGAAAGTCCACTTTATATGCTTCAATTTTGTAACTTGAACAACTATTTCTAAGATGAGAATATGTAATCATTAACTAGTGATTTCTTAGTTTATTTTTTAAATTTTGTATTACTTGTACCCTTTTTCTGTTTCTTTTTTTTCTCCTTAAATAAAAAACAAAAATTAGGTAGTAAGGAAACTGAGATTTTAAAATCATACTTAACTGTAGGTTCGAGACAAGACTTACTCGACTTTTTCCTTCTAGGAAACATAAAACAAACAAATCCTAAATGTAGACAATAAGCCTGTAAAGTCAGGCCTGGGTCTGTCCTTTTAAAATAAACCCATAAATCTGGGTGTTGCATATCTTTTGGTCTATAAACCATGTTTTTCCATCCCCAAGGAAGCAGCTGGTGGGCAGGATCTCAAAAATACAGATGGCTCGCATTGTAATCTGACAAATACATACCCCAGGTCACCCATCTTGAAGAGACCCCCCTTAAATGTGCCCCGTTCCATCTCAACAAATCTCATTTCTCAGAGCCCCTGCACTCTAAATTCTTAAGTGTATCCTGTGCAACTTACTGACTTGTCCTGAAAACTCTTTCCAAGACGAGAGTCAGTTAACCTGCAAACTTACTCTGCAAGGGTGCGCAGAGATCCTTATTTTCAGCCTGAGGGAGCCTCAGCCCCAACCAGGTGACAATTCCCATTTAAAAAAAAAAAGTAAGCATGATGGGGCACACCTGTAAATCCCGAGATCACAAGTTCAAGTCAAGCCTGGGCAACCTAGTGACTACTTAGGCACGACCCTGTCTCAAAATGTAAAACCCTGAGTTCAATAACCAGTACCTCCCAAAAGGTGGATGCAGGGTTTCAGATGGTTCGACTGTAACAGACTAGTAAGTCTTTGTTATCAGACTTTGGTTAACACCACCTACTTGGGAGGCTGATGCAGGGTAAGCACAAATTAGGGTTCAGCCTGAGTAACCTGGAGAGATCATCTCAATAGTTTTTTAAAGTGCCAGGGATATAGCTTACTACTCCCTAGGTTCAATTCCCAGTACCACAAATCTTTTCAGATATCAGTAAAACCTTAAAAAAAAAAAAAAAAAAAAAAGGATCTTGCTACATAGCCCAGGCCAGTCTCAAACTTCCAATCCTCCTACCTCATTCTCCGGAAAAGTGGCGGGATTACAGGTGCATGGCACCATGCCCAGCCCACGGCTCTTCTATTAGCAAACAGGATGCATCCCAATGTAATCTCAGCACTCTAGAAGTCTAAGGCAAAAGGATCAACTTTAAGCCTAGCCTATGAAAGACCCTGTCTCAAAAAAAAAAAGGCTTAAAATACTTCAGTGTGAAGGTCCTGGGTTCAACCCCCAGAACTTGGGGTGGAGGTTGAGGATGCGGAGATATAAAAGACAGCTGTGGTAACACTCACCTGGAAAGCCTGCACTTGAGGGGCTGTGTTCAAGACCAGCCTGCACTACAAGCTCCAAGTCAGTCTGAATTACAGTGAGGGTTACCAAAAAAACAAAGATTCTTACCTGAAACACCACTGAGAAGACATTTTACCTACAGAAGATGCAGCTGTATGTGCATTAGGACTAGTTGAAGGAACCGCCAGGTGCCAGGGCAGGCTTTCCTGATGATGTGTCAAAGCAAGGCAGGGTCTCTAATGGGCAGGGTGGGAAGGACTCACTGCTCCTTCCTTGTGGGCTTCACTGGCACCAGCTGGGTCAGTCAAGGGAAGCCCTGCAGGACTCTCACCGCAGACGCTATCCCTTCTCATGGCTCCACTCCTCCCCAGCATTATCCACCTACTTGCAGAAAATATTTTCCCTTCATATAGACATAAAATGAAAACTGTTCAGTTGACAAAATGCACAATCATTTATAAAAGTATACATGAGGGATATCAGTGCCCTGGTTTTCATGGGGAGGACAGCCCCCACCCTGAAAAGAACAGGGAGAGGTATGGCAAGGCAACGTGTCCATGAGGAGGGAGAGGACACAGAAGGTAAACTGAGGCTCCAGCTTTGCTCTGCCCCTCAACAGAGTCTATCACCAGAGATTATATATGGTTTGATGTAAGCGAGCTCGAAGTGCCTGCATGCACAGGCACAAAGGCAGGAGATGGAAATGTACTCTGGAACTTCTTCCTAGCATCACAGATTTCTCTGCAGCAAGGAGCTTCTTTCCCATAACTCAGTCAAGGAACCTGTTTACCAGCAGGAGAAACAAGTGGGCGACACCAGCAGGAGAAAGCAGGATGTGGCTGCCCAGTTCCCAGGCAGAGGGATGGACCTGAAGAATCCTCCCACAGAGAGGCAGGCCCTGCATGCAATCTTTGGCTGTTGAGGGCTCGTTCCTTAGGGTGCCCTGTACCTTAAACTCACCTATTCTTTTTCATCTCTACTATACCAGATTCCTTTTTCTCAGAGAAGGGCCATGAGGAGGCTCTTACAGCAGATTCTCATTTTGGGGGTGGTGTGGGGACAACCTAAGGCCTGGCACACACTGGATAAGTGCTCTACAATGAGCTCTACCCCGAGCCCAGAATCTCTTTAAACAATCAGTAATATGATAATTCGTCAATGACCAGGAATGCACATCCCTGAGATCTGCAATTAAAACACAAAGCTTAAAATTTCAATTCCCTTAACTGTTATAACTTCAGGCAAAATAATCAAGAAGTTGGAAATAAATGCTGGATGTGGATGCACCTGTCAGTGAAAGTCAGTGAGGGCTGACCTTCTGGGTGGCTCACACAGAGGCTTGTGCGACTCCGAGTCACTTCTGCTCTGTATGGCTTTCTCCCTCCAGCTAACCAACCACCCAAACTGTATGAAAACACCAGTGGTAGTAGAGACCCTCCTCCCCTCCCAGCAAGGGAGGATCCTGGGGGGGGATACTGTATCAGAAGGAGGGCGACACGTTCTGACAGAGGGAGTGACACGCTTACATTAAATGCCAGTACAATACTGTTCCCAATAACTGACAGTGACAGTAAGTTACTGTGTTATAAAAACATACAATAAAGTCCTTTAAGAAACTGAATTGCACTGCAGCTTGATTACAATAAAACTCTAGTTGTTGGTTAAGTTCCATTAATTGTTTTTAATTCTCTTTGACTTCTTCTCCTGGTCTTCCGTTATCCTTTCTGCAGGTCGCTTCTTTAATCCCTTCATCTTCCTTGTCTGCAGTTTGCTTAGGTCTTGTTTCTGCATGTGAATCCTTCCGTACGTTGTACCAAAAGTATCTTGGGACATATTTTTCTTCTTCTTTGGCTGTAAAACAAGGGTAGGGTGTTAATATTTTATATACATGTATTTTTAATCATGTGTCTAGTGTTTTGACTAGTAAGTCTAACGTACAACTGTTTCCATCAGTGAGGACCCTCCTCAAAGACAGTATGTAACCCTAACATTTACCTCCTCACACTTCAGCAAGCGTACACATCTCCTAGGGATTGTGTTAAGTGCAGATACCAACTCAGTGCCGGCCCAAAGTTCTCTGGTTCTAACAATTCCTACATAAACTGTGAGAAGCAAGAATATAGACTATACTAACCAATGTCCGTATCAAAAGAATTTCCTCCTGTTTAAGCTGAAAAAATTGTGACTATCCTTTCAATTCCCAGTGACATTCCAGAGTTAACATTTTATTCAGCTTTTTGTTGTTGTTGTTGTTTTTGACACATTGTCTTGATCTGTAGCTTGGGTTGGTCTTAAACTCACTGTGACCATGCCCAGCCTAATTTGCTCCTTTTAAAATTCACTCAAAAGTCAAAATATGCCAGAAGCAATAGCCGGCGCCTCTAACTCTAGCACTAAGGGAGGATGAGGCAGTAGAACCAACAAGTCCAAGTCCAGCCTGGGCAATTTAGCCAGACCTTATCTCAAAATAAAAATGGGTTAGAGCTTATTGTAGCAGGCCTAAGTTCAATTCTCAGTATCACACACACACAAAAGTCAAAACACGGCCTGATGTGGTTGTGCACACCTGTAACCCTAATACAGACAGCTAAATTAGGAAGAAATTTGGCTACAGGCAGTCAGGAAGTACAGGAAGATGAAAGTACACCACAATTGTGGCTAGAGACACATCTGGAGAAGATTAAAGTCACAATGGCCAGATTTCTTTTTTTGTTTGGTGTTCTGAGACATGGTCTTGTTATGTAGTTCATTCTGGCCTTGAACTCACCATGCAGCCCAGGCTGGCCTCAAACTCAAAGCAGTTCTGCCTCGGCGTCCAGAGTGCTGAGTTTACAGGCATGCACCACCGAATGGAAGCCCAGAGCAATGGCTAGATTTACATATTTTTTAAAGGATAAAGTCTGAGATGGCTGGTACTACCTTTTTGAGATTTCTCATATAAATAAACCATTATCTCATTAGGGATTGGTCATGCTCTCCCACCCACTAAGACTAAAACTACTAAGACTATGGGTATAAGACTAAGCCTAAAAACAAGACTAAGACTGTAGATTACTGGCCAAAGTTAATAATGTCACCCACATGCCCTTGCTACTATTGAATCAATATTAGCCAAGTGGCTGTATCTGTAATCTTTTTGGGTGACTATAGTTTTGAACCATACGATTTTGCTCTCTAAAACTGTCTCAGAGAAGGGGGCTCTTTGGCAACCCCTGTGTCTTAGGAGATCTTTCTATTTTCCCATGAATTTTCCTACTCTTAACCTCTGCTGTTCCTTAGAATTCATTCTGACTTTGGGAACACGAATTTTTGGAGACTACTATGAAGCAGCTCTGAGCAGGATTTAAATTTTACTAATTGGCTTGCTTTGTTTATCTGTGAGTCTGTCCTAGGCCTAGGCCCTTGCCTGGCGACTAGAGCTGATTCATAGTAAGTGAAACTCTATGAATCACTGGTTCTGACTGAGGCCTGTAGTGGCCTGTGAGGTCAGAGATTCCTCAAAGGGCAAGATAAGGCCACAGCTGTGGATACTGTGGCTCCATCCTCAATTAACAAGGTAGAGACTGCAACTGCAAAGATTACTCCTACAGTCTCACTCCTACCATGTCTTCATGATAAGACAGTGCTACTGAATTGACTAGATTCATTACTTGGAGACGTCCTTGAGGCAACTTCCAAGGTCCTGCTCATTGCCAGCGCTTTCCTCAGTCTCTCCGCCCTTTGTCCTTGGTCCTAATATAAGTGGACTGATCCAAAGAATCCTTTGTCTTTACCCTTGAAGCCTCAAGCTTAATTAAAGAGTTTTGACCCTCCTGGTCCTAAAAATCATACAATTTGTCTCTTTATTTCACCTCCATACACTCGTTTGGGAGATCAGGGATCTAGGGTAGAACCCGATAATGAACCTGCCATTTCTGACATCTAGCTGGTTAGGAGTTAACACTCTTTTTTGTCTTGTTCTGTTTTTGTGATATTGGAGACTGAACTCAGGGCCTTGTATACTCTGGGCAAGCAGTCTACCCCTGAGCTACATCCCTAGCCCAGGGAGTTACATTTTCCCCCTGTATCAATTCCAGCACCCAGGAGACTGAGGCAGAAACACCGGAGAGTTTAAGGCTACCTTGGGTTACACAGTGAGGGATCTCAAAAAATCAAAATGCAATTCACACACATATGCTTTACATACTCAGTTCTCTAAACCTCCGGTCTTCACAATGACCAGACTAATTCTTTTTCCTGAAAATAGCAGTCCTGGCTACCAGACAGTTCCCAACAAACCTGGTGCCTTTTTATTAGCATTTACGGTGGGTTTACTTGGTTCTCTTTCCTTTTCTAGCTCTGAAAACCTAGTTTCATCTACTTTATTGATCTCTATGTATATCCTTTAAATATGAAACTGAGCCACAGGATGTACCTTGAGAGCTTTTGGCATTTTCATAGATAACTTATAAAGGTCATCTGAAGCCAGGTGTGTCCTCCTCAGAACCAGATCCAAAGAAGGTCCCATTTCTTCCAGCTCAATCCGTGGTGTTCTGCAACCAGATTTCTTTAAGAGCAACCTTTATGAAACAAGAAAGAAAGAAAAAAAGATATAGTATTCTGACCTTTATAAAAATCCTCCCCTAGAAAACAAAAACAGAAAAGTCTTTCCTCAAAACATTATTGTTCAAAGCATTTATAGTGACATAAAACTATTCAGGAAAGCGTGGATCTTGGGGTTCCTGGAAGGATCTAAAGATAAATTTAGAGGCCACGGAGAAAAGGAAGAGAACACAGAAAAAGGAGGGAGCAAACTGCACTTTTTTGTGGCTCCCAGATGATAATGTGAGAGGATCGCGTCTCCAGAGACAAGGTGAGGGAGGGTGACTCCACAGGCCTCTCGGGAGAAACACACACGTGGAACAGAGCAGTGGATGCCGCATGCTACAACAGCCTGGGAGTGACTGCAGCCCAAGCCATGGCTCTGTTTCCTGGGGAGGGAGGTTGGCCACACAGACGCCATGTTAGGGAACTGGGAACCATAGGTTGGCTTCATTTTATCCCACTGCGACTGGGTGGAGAGGCAACTACAAGAAACACCCAGGGCCAGAGACACCCAGTGTGGTAGGATAAACAACTCGGGCCCCAAGCCCACAGCCTGGGGCCAGGTCAGCCTGAACTTCTGTGGAGTGGAAAGCACCAGAGGGCCAGGCCATGGCTCAGTGGTGTAAGCACAGCCCGGCAAGCATGAGGTCCTTAGTTTGATCCCAGCACCAAAACCAAGAACCAGAATCAGTCCCCCACCCTAATCCTGCCACAGGCTTGCTGGGATCTTCCAGTTTGAGCCTGTTGCCCCTGTCTACCAGTGACTATCCAGACACACCCAAGCTGGACACCACCACAAACCTGCAGACCCCGAGGATAACTACAGGCTGCAAGTCACAGAGAAATCGCTTTTTCTTTCTTGTTTGTTTTTTCATGAGTGTTTTGTCAGTTTCGTTTCATTCTTGTTTTTGCTTTTGCCTTCTTTCCTTCCTGTCTTCACCAATTCCCCAAAGCTATTCCCAAAGCCCTACTGAGTGGATATTTACTTTATATGCTCTTCGGGCTTGTTTTATTTATTTATTTATTTAGGCCATGCCTCAGTACGTAGTGCAGGCTGGCCTAGATGTTATGTAGCTCAGGCTGGCCTCAAAGTCACAGCAATCCTCCTGTCTCAGTCTCCAGAGTGCTGGAATTACAATGTGCCACCATGCCACAGCCTGATTTTAGATTTTTTCATATAACCATGAATCTTGTACCTATAGTTAAAGGGGACAAATGAACAGTTATCACAGTTCATCATTCATTTGCTAGTCTGTGCTTAAAGGTACTATCAGTGCTAACTGTTCTACTTTAGCCAAAGTGAATTAGCTAATATTGTTGTTCTTTATATGCCAATACCAAGACTGTCTGGGGTTCATAAACAATACCACTGTCCAGCACCAAAGAACTGAGTGCTATCAAATCAGGCATCCCTTTATAATAAAGAGAAAAGGCAAGATCATGTGACAGACTCAAAAGCCAGTCAGTTCAACCTAGAAGACATCACTGAAAAGCACTGAAAAGTAGTATCAAGTAGACTTCTTGATACTAGTAACAAGCTACCTACCATAAGTAATTTGTAAGTATCTATGCAGAAAACAAACTAAAAAAACTGAAAGTGGAAAACATGGAAGCAAGATGCAACCCTAGAACTCCAGCTTGCCCAAGGCAAGTCAGGGGAAACTGAAGTGGAAGAAATCAAAAAGCCACTAAAGTGACCCTTTTAAAACAGTAGCTGTAGACTTTACAAACATGAATGAAGTCTACAGCCTTATCATCTTGAACATGTCTGATTGTATAATCCAGAAAGATGAATGAGAGAAAAGACAATTCAGAAACAATTACAGACAGCAAAAGAGATGATGATCAGAACAAAGGACATGGTCAGTAATCTAGAGTAGATACTGATGTGAAAAACAAAAAGAAAAAAAGAAATAGAGGAGTTCAGGAAAATGATGGAAACCATGAATGCCCACAATAAAAAAAAATCAATCCAACATCTACTAGATGGTGCAAAGAAGAATAGCATTAGATTAACTAAAACCAATGAGAAAATCAAAGTTAGCACAAGGACATAAAAAACTTGTTCACAGAAGTAAACACAGAAAACCTCCCCAACATGGAAAAAGAATTTGACATACAGGTAAGTGAGGCATATAGAACCTTAATTAGTCATGGTCAGAAAAAGACTATACCTCAGCATATACCAGTCCAGATTTCATAAATTCAACACAAGAACAGACTATTAAAAGCTGTCAGAGAAAAGAAACAAATCACCTATAAAGGAAAATCCATCACAGCAGATTTCTCAACACAAACCCTTGTAAAAGAGAATGCAGTGAAGTATTTCAAGCTCTAAAAGAAAATTTCCAACCCAGATTGATGCACTTGTGAAATTATCTTTGAAAATTAATGGATAAATAAGATACTTCTATAATTGGGGCTGGGGATTTAGCTCAGTGGGTAAGTGCCTGCATGGTAAGCGCGAGGTCACGAGTTCAATCCCCAGTACCCCCCCAAAGATACTTCCTTAATAAAGAATACCTGAACAAATTCAAGTCCTACAAACCAGCACTCCACAAGTTCTGAAGGATACATCCCAATAGAATGAATGCACCATGCCAGGCAAGCAATTAAACAGAAGGGAAATGAAGGGAACCAACAACAGAAATAATATGGCAAGGATCAGTCAATACGTATCAGTTATAACCATCAATGGTAAATGGTCTCAACTCACCAATCAAAAGAAACAGACTGGTAGAATGGATCGAGAAAATAGATTCTACAATATACTGCATACAAGAAACCCATTAAACTGAAAAAGAAATCCACAGACTCAAACTTAAAGGATGAAAAACAATACTCCATGTGACAGGAACTCCAAAAAAAGCAGAGGAGTTATACTACTTGCAGACAAAGTGAATTTCAAGCCAAGACTGATCAGGAGAGACAAAGAAGGTCACTACATATTTATTAGGGGAAAAATCCAAGAGGAAGAGATAACAATCATATATGCACCAAATACCAGCACATCTAACTATATAAAAAAATTTAGAAAAAGCTAGGCAAGGTGGCACATGTCTAAAAGCTGAGCTACTCAGGTGTCTGAGGCAGGAAGATCACTTAAGGTATTTAAGACAAGCCTGGGCAACATAGCGAAATCTCACCTTAAAAACAAAAAACTGAACAATGAAATAAAAATATTTATGAAAGGTAAGCTTCTTAAACACTTCGTACATTCAATCCAATTGTATCCTTTGTGTTATTTCTTAAAATTCAAAGATAAAATTGTACTGTATTGTTCAGAAACGGAAAGTCACAAAATGCTTTTCAGAAAGTAACTGTTTATAAATTCACTGTTTCATTTCACTTATATATTTACATAACTATAAAAATAATTTGGGGCTGGGCATGGTGGCGAACGCCTAGAATTCCAGCACTCAAGAGGCTGAGGCAAGAGAATTGCTGTGAATTCAGCCTGAGGCCAGCCTAACTACACAGTAAGACTCTATCTCAAACAAAACAAAAAGTAACTTGGGGGTATAGCTTAGCAACAAAGCATGTGCTCAGCAAGCATAAGGCTGTGAATCTCACCCCCAATGCCAAAATAATTTTAACTGAATTCTTGAAACAGCATGTTTATAAGATTAACGAATTCACTAAGACCATAAAAATTAAATCAGCCCATTCAGGCTTAGCCGCTCACTATAGCACAGAACTTAATGACCTTATTTGATTAAAATGAAAAAATCTTAAACAGAAATCTCAACTTTCTGAATACTCTAAATCCAAACAGCTCCAGATGGGGAAACATCTGAGGGCGCGGCAGAGCCAACAGCTGAAGAGCAGGTGCGAGGAAGACTGGGACATTGTTTTTGTGAGCACTATCACAGAACAACTCTCAGTTCGGACAACTGAGTGAGACTGACTGTGTGCTCTGGGTGAAAGATTTGGGGAAGACAATGTACAAGGTATGTACTATGGTTGCCCTGATTGATGTGTTTTAGGTTTTTTTTTCTTTTTCTGCTTGAAATAAAATGGATTTGGGAAAAAAAAAAAAAAAAAAAAAAAACCCAAGAACTGCGAGACCTAGAGTTCATGTTCAGTTTGTCACCGAACATGGTCTCAAGGAGAAGAAAGGTCCACTGACTGAATGACAATGTTTAAGTGTAAAAAGATCAATCTTTTCAGGCAAAAGACACAATGTGAGAGTGGTGAAAGAAGAGGACAGAAGAGGAAGCCCCGAGGAAAAGACCCAGAAGACAGCAAACACCAGAGAGCTGAGGCCACGGCACCAATGACCACAGAAAGCCCTCTGGGCCCTGCAGACAGACAGCCACGGCCCACCACCGCCCACGCAGGTGTGACTGCAGGTCGCAGGGAGTCCCACGACCTCCAGCTGCTCCAGACACGACCACTAACACCCAACTGAAAGGCAAAACAAACCCGCTAGGATACATAAACAGCCACATGTTACTGTACTAACATTAAAAGCTGAAAGGAGCTTATGGCGCACGCCTGTAATCATAGCACTCGGGAGGCCGAGGCAGCAGGGTTGCTGAGAGTCTGAGGCCAGCCTGAGCTACACAGAGTTCTAGGCCAGCCTCAATTACATAGTGAGACCTTGTCTCAAAATAAATAATAAAGGTTAAAATGAGTACCACTATGGACTTGACAGGGGCATACATGGAAATGACAGCCCCTGGGCTATTCTTCACACTGGTTTCAAAAGAGACCTAAGAAAATACCCCAGTCAGACCCACTACAGGGGAAAATAGAAGCTAAAGTTACCAGGGCCACACTACTTAAAACCTAATTCAAAGCACTGGGGGAGAGGGATGCAATGTGACTGCTGTGTCACATATACTTCAGGGGTTTTTTGGAGACTAGGTCTCATCATGTAATTCAGGCTGACCTTATAAAAATCTTCCTGTCTCAGCTCCCAAGTGATGGTATTACGGGCACAAGCCACCACATCCGGTAGTCCCACTTCTAT